AAACGTTTCAGTCGACTGTATTCACAGTGACCAGAAGCATGGAAGACTCCGCATACATGATCTAGCAGTAAAACTATTTTCCTTCTACTATCTCGTACTATCTACTACTAAAAAATCTATTTTGACAGGAGTCTTAGGCTGCAGGTTGAATTTTTGGGTTTATTCAGTGATAGGCAATGCAACATAACTTGATATTTAGCTCCACCTATTGGGCACCTTCAAAACTCTCTTTCAAGTTACTGAGTTCAAAGAAATTAATTCTGTTCTAAAGCTCTGACCATGTTCTTTTTTTCCCCAGAAAAAAAAAAAGCTAAAAAAAAAAAAAAGATGTGCTGAGAACTGTTCAAGAGTTGTGTATTTAAAAAGCCTGCAGATCATTTAAGAGAAGACGATGAAGCAACCTAAATAGAACTTTGTCTTTAAAATAAAAGAAACAAAACTGTTCAGTGTCTCCTTACAGAGATAAATAAAGAAACATGACCTGTTTTCCAAGTCACTCCCAATGGATGACCTTAAACCAAGATGCAGTACAATATACATTCAGCTTTTTAAGAAGTCTTATTTTAAGAAGTTAAAAATAATTCTGATTGCTTTCTGAAACAAAAGCTGWCTTGCCAGCTCCAATCTCTAGCTTTATTCTAAAACTTATTTGGACCTCGTCAAATAATCTGGTATAAACGAGCAGCTCCCTGAAAGCCATTCTTCATTTATATTACTGGATCACAAAATTGAAGCAGAAACATCTATGAAGTGTAATTTTTCAGTTCCCTCAAAAGCAAATACTGGCAACACTATAACCAGTTTACTTTCTACAAGCAGGGCATTTCTACTTAGCTTTTGAATACTGCAGATATACTTCATGAGGAAGTTCAACTATTTTATTTAATTTTCCTGACAAGAGACAGACACTGTAAGGAAACAACACTGAGATGATTTCACCAAAATCTATTTAAGGCCATCATATTTTCAAAGATTTATCTTAATTGAAGTTTTAGAAGAACCATTACATTAAAAGTAAAATGATTTTACGAATCAGAGGTCATAAATTCATGATGTGAAGAAGAGAGGAAGCAACGATAGCATTTTGGCAGAGTCCATAGYGTAAACTTTCTACCACTGTAACGCACAGTGGGAGGAAGCTGGAAGAGGGCCTCAAGAACCACATGCCTAGATGGAGTGCGTCTTCCTTAGGCACCCCAAAAGGCACAATACACCCCAAAAAGGAAATCCAAATCATGTAATAGTGATGGCTACCTGAATGACTCTTAAAAGAAGACTTTTCCTCTTTAGCATTTTCATGGGCTTAGTTAACTGCTTGATCCTGGAGCAATTCCACACACTCACTCAGGCAGCTCACAGTGTATCCCCAGGTAGCACAAAACTGACTTACACAGAAGTATTTTGTGCCTCCTTCTCCAGAGCTCTGCAATGCCTTGGTCAGTAAGTCCCATCCTGCTCACCTTTAAAGCTGGGAGGCTCCTGGTACAAAACTGAGCAAAATGAATTTGTAAGCAACAGTATGCTACCAAAACATGGGCTACCTGCAGAACTATCTGGGGTTGGGCTGTCTTGGGCTATCAAAGGCAAGTACTAAGTCARGAGAAATACACAAAGATTCTATATTGACTAATATAACATATTTCCTAATATAACAAATGATTAAATGGAGATACACTTCAAAATAGAAAACAAAAAGGAGTGATGCAAGTCAAACTCCTATCTATATTCTAGGGCTCTTTGTACATTTTTTCTTATTGGAAAAGGAACTTTCTTACTGAAAAAGGATCTCTGCATTAAATTTGGCAGGTGGTAGCAAAGTACAAACCACCTCAATATTTCCAGACACTAGGACAATGACACTTCATCCATGAGAATGGAACCTCTTCCTACGCCTATGGAAGTATTAAGGATATCACAGTACACAACACATGCTGAGTAACAGGGAATTGCTTATGTCTTGGCCAGAGTTACAGATGAGTCGCTTCAGCAGTAAGGAAACAGGCRCACGCTCCATGTATGGAGGTGTCTGCAAACATCTTGGCAATAAGCACTTCCAAGTTATCCTGAAGCTCAAAAGCTGGTGGCAAAAGCAGCGCCAGACTGAAGACCACTGAAAGGCTTCCTGTTGGCTCTGCCTCCACGCTGCCCTACGAGCGCCCAAGGCAAAGGCCTTTAACACCCTCCTGCAGGCCCAGGTACCGAGCTCTGCCTACCCTTCAGGGAGGGGAAACGTGATTTCACAAACTGACTGAGGAAACACTTTTTTAAGCCTAAATGTTCCTCAGCCTATTGGAAACATGGACCCAGCACCTAGAGGAGCAGGGCTGGGAGCAAAGAGGAGGTAGGAAGAACAGCATCTCTGAGCGCTGGCCTTTGGGAGCAAGGGAGTCTGCAACTGAGCAGGTGACAACTGCCACCTCAGGCACCTCTTGTCACTTCCTCCTCCCATTTAGCTTGTTCAATACTTAAACTTCCATCATTTTCTTTCTAAGCCTCAGAAGGAGAGTGCTACAGAACAAGCCAAAAGATAAAAAGGAAGACAGACAGAGATGCTATACTGTTCAATACTTAAATATAGGTTAGGTAGGTGACAAAACGGTTTCAAATACGATAGTCATCCCTTATCAATTTAATTTCTGCCAGAGAAGATAAAGCCAGTTCTGACAGATCCATTTTATCATCTACTCAACTGAGTCACCTTCCTGGTCCTGCTTTATCACTGCAGTATTCAAGGTGAATTATCTTTGTTATTACTGGCTGTTCTGCATCTCTCTTTCTAAAAGATCCAAACATGAATTATTGAAAGTGGTAAGTAAGATTTTCTGTAAAATGTTTTAAGGCACATTAATCTGGGTTAAGAGAAAAGATGAAACAGGAAATATAAGAACTAAACCTGAGACCTAGCAAGTAAGTTTCCAAACTCAGCCTATGCCTGCAGTAAACAGTGCACCCTTCACTATTAGTTCATGTGTTTGGGAGACAGTTCTAGCTGTAGTAAAACATAAACAAGCTTTAAAGATAGATATCAGAGTTTCAGGTTAAGGAACATGCCCTCCCCAAGACATTCTTTTTATTGTGACAAAACCAGACTTGACTAGACAGGTGACTTATGCCAACGGCAAAACCCCACGCCGCAACTGTTAAAGGCGGCATGAAGGGGAGCGCTGCTGGAGTTCATTCCTCTCCCCATCCCTGACAAGTCTGGACTGCACAAAACCAGCTAATRCACTTGCCCAGTATTTCCAGCATCAAAGCTATTACACTTGCTGCTCTGAAAAGTAACATGTGATTATAAACCAACTTGACTCCCACCTATTTCGAAATCAGCCTTGGAAACAAGGCCCTTCATTTGCCACGGCACAAATACATAACCTAACAACAGAAGCTTCATGTGGATCAATAAAAGGGAAACAAGCCTTGCAAAAATGACAAGTACCTAAGATCGCTTCCGGACTTACAAGCGAGTGGATACTATGCTTATGTAGACAACAAATAATAAAACAGAGCAACCTACACCTCCAGAAAGAAAAACACCACTTCTTTAAAGCACACAGTTTCAATTGGAACTGCTAATTCAACTTGCAGCTTCTGATTTCTTCAGGACCAAATTACTCTCGTTACTCAAGCCAGGCAGTCCCACCAGACAGGCCTGCTACTATAAGCAGCAGAACTCTGTTATGTCAAGACATTTAGTTGGGGACAGTTTCTTACCACTGCCAATRTTCACGAGCCATACATATTGAAAAGAATGAGTAGCATTTATATAACTTTTGTACCCTAAGTGTATTTGACCTGTATTCAGGTCAATTTTTGCACATTTTTTTCAATCCAAACACTTGGTGAAGTCACTGGACTGCTGACACAGGCACATTTTTCATATTCAATGAGGTCTAAAAATAGAAGTACTAATGTTGCAGAACACTAGAAAAGGTATTAGGAATGTGCAGGGACTATTTTTGAGAAGGTAATACCATTATTAGGTAGCAGGTCAACTTTAGGTAGAGGAGAATCAGTTTTTCAGCAGTATTTTGAACTGTATTTTATCGATTAGCAGATTCTCATACTTGAATGGTGATCATGTAAGCCTCTTAAAAGGCGAATGGATTTTTTTTCTCCCTGCATACATTTATTCRGTTCATAAAGATGTGATGCGGGATGATCTTTTTCAAATCATATATGCTTGTGTACTTGTACTTGAAGACTTTAGACTAAAATTGGAACTTCAGCTCCATGCAGAAATACCACATGACATTTATAAGACAACAAAATATTTTAATTTAAATATGTCCTGTACTATATAACTGTATAAAACACACCAACTAAGCATCCCTGTGAACATTAAGAAAAAAAGAAAAAAGAAAAGAGCGAGCAATACTCGGTGACACAAGCCAAGACGCACAACCAGAAAGACAGGTAAGTTACTGTCTCACAAATCCCTGTTCACAAAGATTTGAAGTGGAGCATGTTGTAGCCATCAAAATGGAAAAAAAATGGTGTATCAAAAAAAGGTGTATCAAAAAAAAAGGTGTATCAGAATGGAAAAAAGAAAAAAAAAAGAAAAAAAAAGAAAAAAAGAAATACTTTGACAGGTAATTGTGAATAGACGGAAAAAAAGGACAAAGCAGAAGTTATCCCAACTATTTTTAATGGCAAGTAGTAAAACACCAAGTCAAGTAGTAATTTGAAAAACATGACAGAAAACCTTGGAACAGCTTAAAGGTGGTTCTGGTAAATCTCTGAGATTTCCCTCCTTCCCTTTCTCCCATTTGTTGCGGTTGTTGTTGTGAATGCGAGTGCTAAATAAATAGTACACATATCCAAAACACGCTTACATCTTACTGATGCAAAACAGTGTGTGCCCTCCACCTCCCTGCACCACGGATCCAGCAAGCCTGGGCTGAGCCTGCTCCTACAGGGGAGCCTGCTCCTACAGCAGCCAGAACAAGGCCATTACTGCAGGTATTACTAAGTTAAATAACATCCCTGTTCTCCTCGGTCACGGGATATTACCTCATGTTTTGCTTAGTATATTGACTGTCTTTTTAATAATGTCGCATTTAACACTGCACTACAGCTTGGAAGGGCTCCCTTACACACCTTGCTACATTGTTTAATCTCTAAAAAAGGGGTGCGAACCCGGGCATCCAAGTCAGTGTTTGTTCAGATGGCACAAAACGATTTTTTTATATTAATTTCAGCTACAAAACTATTTTATTTTTCAGAATAACTATGGAAAAAGTCAAGTAGGGGAGAAAGAGGATCTTTATTTCTAAAAACAGGTTGAGAAGCCTCAAACATCCCCTTTCTATTAGTGTAAAGTGGTGCCTTCTCAAAGATAAAGTAACATCTTTGCAAGCAAAAAAAGAATACTTAAGCTTATTTCAAAGTGAAGATCTCAACTTTAAAAACAAATAAGAAAAAAAACCCTACTTCTAGGATGTTTCTTCCTCTCAACTTGTACATCATGTGCTCTGTCTTTAGACAGTACCATATAAGAAACTCTATAAAGCTTTCCCATGTCTACCATTACCTAGGTATGTWTCGTCAGCTGTCATTAAGCATTCCCAATTACCAGCTTGTTTTGGAAACAAAGCTAGGGAAGCAGATACTTCTGGACACACAAAACCATCAGAAAAAGAGATGCCAAGGGCAGCTCACAGAGCAGCTCACATGAGTGATGAACCAGGGCAAAGGCGCTCCATCTCTCTGGGCTGTTCCATGCACTCTCTGCAATTTTCCCAATCACCATTAAAACATTTGTTTTCAACACAGCAGATCAGATATTGARCAGAGCTCATGTTTCTTTCCATTGCCATTCTTTTCACTGAGAAAGTATGTTGCTATGAATATACAATAATAACATCTTTATTTATACATTTAAGAATACTTTTTTCCAAAGGAGAAAGTCAGTTACCGAACAAATGTTATTGAAGGTATAAATTATTTAAACTTAAATAATTTAAAATCAACTTACTCAAATAGCTTTGCTATTGCACATTTTTTTATAACTTTTCCAGACAAAACCTTATATAAGCATTTAAGAGGTTAAAATTTTAAAAGCACAAGTTACATAGCACCAAAGTACGGTGCCAGACAAATCGTATGCCTGCTGGAAAAGGAGTGCCAATAAAAACAAATATAAATATATACGTATATACACATCTAGTAATAACTCYGGGATGTTTAGATAATAAATACTTTAAACAAACTCCCAGATTTCCAAAAACATGAAGTGAGAAATTTTTAGAAAATAATGCAAAGTTGCTTTAGAAGAGCAAGAATACACATGCACAAAATCTATCATAAGAAAGAGTTTTACAGTTCCCATACCTTAATCTTTAAAACCACCTCTGTTGTCACTATGTACTTCACAAAATGGCTAGCCTATATGTTTGAGGATTTACATGAGACAGAACAAGGAAAGCTATCCCCAGTTGCTGTATAATGGAGCAATACCCCCAAAAATAAGCCTGTATCAGTTTCAGTTTTGTCACTTCTCAAAATGTCTTTTCCTGCCCATCTCCATTCCCAGCAATCTGGGCACACACTCATAACATCAATCAACAGGCAGCCTTGGAAACAAGGAGGAAACTTCCTATATTTTTTTCTGAGCAAACCTTACACTGGAATTTCTCCTGCTACAACTGCTGCTGTGACCCCCAAATTTGTGACCAGCTATTTCCACAGTAAATGTTTCCCTTGCGTACATCTGCTTGTAACCCTTCCAAAACCAGAGCAGTTCAACTTAAATGGGCAGGAGTATAATCTGGTCTTCTGGTCTGAATAATTTTTGGTTTGGGTTTCTTTGCTTCTTCTTCCACGTCGTTTTCTTGGTCACTCTCGCAGACGTGGACAACAACACTAGGAGTAGTGTCGGTTGCAGCGTGTAGTTCATACTTTTCTCCTGAAAATTAAAAACAGTACAAAACAGGTTAAAAAGGATCCATTTTACAGAAGAGTGTAAAAGAAATCACTAAAAGGAAAAGAATAGAAGCTTTTTTAAGTAGTAAATTAACAACAAAAGCCTGATGCCACAGTGCATTAGAGGGCAATGCAGGGAGGTGCTCTGCCAACAGTCATGTCTACCRTCTGGAGCCCTTTAGGTTCTGCTCTCAGAGCTACATAGCTCGGCTGCTTTCTTACATGCAAGTGCATACAAGTTACCCTAAGCACTCAAAGCCAGTGTTCTACCTAGGCAGCCTTTGTGATGAGATTTTGTTACATTAAACATAGCTGTAGTATTCAAGCACACACTTGGATACACTAGCCCTTCTCCATTCATTTTCAATCACCTCATCACTCATTTTCATCAATCTCTCCGTTTCATTTTCCCAAATGATGACATAAAACCATAGGCTAATTTGTGGGGCTCACAGAAGCCCCACAAAGCTTTCAATATTAAGAAAACTAAATATATTTTTTTTCCCACCTCACACCTAAGTGCTCTTACACTGGTCAGGCATTCTGGGGATCAACAGGAGGCTTCATGTATGTAATGTAAAACATTCACCTATAACATAGCATGTAGAAGTGTTATGAAGGAACTTGCTTGACCACTGCTTTCACACCTGCCTTCACCATAATATAAAAACAGAGCAACTCTGCTTGCTGCAAACTCCACTTATTTCTTGTTCTAACCTTATAGGACTTAATGTCTGTGATAACAAGTGAAAAAAATTAAAGGCGAAAGGGATCACAGATCTGTCGGTGAGCTTATCAGAATATCCTGCAGTAAAAACACTTGCAGGGAAGAAACAAAGAGCTTTTAATGCTTACTAACACTTTAATATTCGTTTTAAATGACATGCTTTCACTGTAAGTTTTAGCAAAGCCAAAAAGATTTAAGAGGAAAGCTTGCAGTGAGGTAAGTAGCAACCACTGGTAAGCTCTCAACTTCAATAAACAGGGTTATAGCTTGCTGCTCTGATTTGTTTCCTGTGATTCATCAAAAACTAGTTTTATTTTAACAAGAATATTCTTACTGGACTTGTGTTTCAAAAACTTATTTCAGGAAAACAAAATCTTTGACAAAAACTGCTGATATGTCAGGGTTATTCTTGACGCTTGGTTTCATATAACTACGTGAAGGCTTGTCTACTTAGTTACACACTTTTACATAAGCAAATATTTTCAGTATCATTTTACACTTTCCCTATGTTTCACTTTTAAACTGTTCTTGCTGATAGTTTTTAAGCAACAAAATTCACACACTATTTAAAATATGGCATTTACTTTAAAATATGGCATTTACTTAAAAATGCACAGTAACCTCCCCCCATTTTTTACCTCCCCACAAGCACTGATGGCCACAAACTGCAGGAGGTTTAATGCCTCACACCACAGGCTGAAGCTGGTACCTTCCCTCCTACTCATGCTACTGTCTAAAATGAAGGATGCAATTCTAGCTGTAAGGCTTCACAATTGTTAACTGCTTTATYGTCCTCATCAGAAACAAGGATTTCTCACCCCTGCCAAAGATGAGCTGCTACACAACTGCCTGTTCCCTTCTAGAAAGCTGAATTTTTGTGGTCTGAGCCTGCCCAAATGCAGGTTTGCTACGAGATAAGACAAAGGGTGAAAAAAAAATAAAAAAGAAATAGCAAACCAACTGATACTGTGAAGCTATAAACTGACAATATCATTTCATTTGGAAAAAAAAAAAAAAAAAACAGAAACTGAGAAAGTTTAGGAGCTGAGGAAGTTCAGTTTTTCAAAATTTTAGTCTTTTAATCCTTCTTACCTGGCCCTAACTTGGAGATAGCATATAAAAGGTCATAGTTTATAACTGGAGTAGCATCTTCTACTTGCTTCCAGCCAACAGGTGGAGAAGCAGGAGGCGAAATCAAAAACTGCTTGTCTGGATTGGGTGGTGCTAAATGTGAGCTTCCAATGTGCAAAGTCTGAAAAAAGCACACACACAAAGAAGAAAGCTATTTCATTATGACCAGAGAATCCAAGATTCATGAGGAATTCTAACGTTTGGATGTTATGCTGTAAGAGGCACTCAAGGTGGCAGCATGTAACAATTTTACTAGACAGCAGTGTGTGAAAGACCTGGTGTACTAAATGAGGACAAGCCTCCACGTTCATAACGCTGATGAAACCTGCAATGAAGTGCGCATATCTGCATCTTCTCATCACAAAGATTTCAGCAGATATCATCTTGCCTCAAAACACTGAAGGAGGGGGAAGCTGGATATGGGCTTTAAGGCTTAATAAGAAATGGCTTTGAAACTTATAACCACAAGTGAGAGTGGTGGGAATTTTAGATGGTATTTTAAAAAGTTGCTCTTCAGGACTGTCCCCTAAGGACATCTGAAACAGACACACAAGTTCATTTTTCCATTAAATGTATGGAAGAAAACTCCCAGCAGCCACCACAAAGCACCCAGATTAACAGAACCTGAATTTGTTTCATGCCTTTAACAGGCAGCAGCACTGGAGCTGCACTGACAGCACGCTGCAAGTCTGAACGTGTGCTATGGGAATGATGTGCAGTACTCACTGCAGGACCAGTGCTTACAAACTTCTGACCACTTTAGTTGTACAGCAGTTTGAATCCTCAGATCCCATTCGAGTCCCCCMCCACCACATCAAGGTGTCTTTAACTTTGCTGCTTACCATCAGCTACTCTCTTTCCCCAAGCATCTCTAAGCAATGAAGAGGTTTTGCATAAGTCACCCAGCCTCCAAACACTCCTAGCTTTGGAGCAACTTGACATTCGTAAGCAAACTGAAAAATTCACAGCAGCCATTAGCAGGCAGCTTCCMCAGGTCTGCAGGCACGCTGAGAGTGTTAAGCCTCGGCGCCTTGCAAAGAAGTCGCGCGAAGACCCACCTGAGCAAAATACAGTTTTATTTCCTTCCCAAGGAACTCGGTCTTGTGCAACTGGATTCGCGCGTCCGCCGCAGACAACGGGCTACTGAAGTTGATTCGCACCCTTTTGAAGCTCTTAAAATACTGAAAGGTGATATCTCTGTCGTAAGCTCTAAACAGCGATTCAAACTTGGCCTGGAAAGTAAAGACCGAGCAAGAAAGTGAACATGCTAGGCTCCATATTTTCTCTAAAGAAACACTGAGGTGAAYTGCGATTATTACTATGGTATACTACCCTTTTTTTATTATTATTATTATTATTGTAGCTATTGGCTTGTTTTCTTTTGTTTTCTTATTTTCTAATGTATCATTTTCTGTACAGCATCTTTTTCTTACTTATTTAAGAAAATAGCTTATTATCACTAGAAAGTGTTGAATGCGTTTTCTCATTTAGTGGCACTATAGAAAAAACAGGGTTGGCAAGACACTGAAGACTACTTGCTTAATTTGTAAAATTAATATCCAAAGACCTTAGATAGTTGCACAGTGGGCAGATATTCAGTGTGCAAATGGCAAGGTAATCAGCACAGAGCTGTTTTAATAGRGAAAACAAAAATGTATATTTGCATGTTAAACATAATTTTCTTAATCTGAGTCAGCATCCTTAAGAAAGTTCCTAATCACTGCCTTTTCTAGTACCTACTGCTTTCACTTAAGAAAATGAACCCAAAGATASACTATTACTGAACTCTAATGTAACAGCCTCTTCTCTTTCTGGATTCAAATTCTAAAAAACTCTCTCACCATTTGCTCTGAGAAGTCCCGAGCACTAATCATATAGACCTGGAAGGGCCTTGGACACATTTTCTACTTTTTATTCTGCAGTAAGAGTAGGAACTGGGGCAAAGCCTCATACCTTTATAGGCTTATGGATGAGTTATTTGATTGTCTTAACTGAGTGAAAGGATTAGAGAATATTTATCAGCAGCTGGGGCCTCTTGCAGCATTTAGCACTCCAAAGGCATTCATGCAAACTGGTCTTTTTTTTTTTTTTTTTGGTACTATTTATAAAGATTGCTTCTATTCTTATTTCAGGATGCCAGACTAAAGGAGGAGAAACTGGCACGCTCCTGTAAAGCCTTTCAGGCTACATCCAGAAYACAGTAATCAGCCACCAGCAACAATCAGCCACCAGCCCTACTTCAGCATTGGGGACGGATCATGTGCAATTATATTTTGGGCACTTGCTCTCATAAAAGCCTACTGAAAGTTAAAGAAGAAGTAGTTTTACATATTTCTGGCTCCCCCCCCCCTTTTTTTTCTTTAATATATACACTTATATTTTGGATTACTAGGAAAAAAACAAAGACAGGAATGCAATATTTACATCAAAAATGCATTTTCCTTTCTGAAGCTATGTAGATAACCACCACGCTCTAAAACTCTTAAAATCCTTCTTGTCCTGATTGAGCCATTCTTAAGCCTCTTCAAAATGAGAGCTGAGACAAAAGCAGAACTGTCAGCACAGAAAGTCCTTGTTTGTTGGCTTCCTTTAGTGGAAAGTGAGCTGAATGCAAGTGTGGAAACTGAGCCTGCATTTCCAAGATCTCAGTCACGTGCTGGCTGGGGCAAGAGAAAACAAAAAGCTGAACTATATTTCCAAGTTTGTGCTCTATTTTAGATTCAGAGGTCAGCTGCAAGATCCATGCGATACACGTACTTTTTCCACAGCATACGTGAATTATATAGGTCACATACCAAGCGAGTAATATAAAACGATTACATGTTATTTTGTTCTTTAAGTGTCTTAGTAGTCAACAATTCATTGCATCAGTACTGGATTACTTAYATATAAGAATTCCAGTAAATTAAATATACATCAGAGAAAAGTTATTTACAATAACAGTGCCAGCTGCCCCCCACCCCTCAAAGCCTGAAAAGTAGAGTACTGTAAGTTACAGGGATCTTATCACCAAAATTGTAATCTCAGCATCACTGAAAGCACGTCTGAAGTGAACAATATGCTCCACAGGCAATGAAGACTATTTGAAAAGGACCAGAAATTCACCTCCAAATAGACACAGCTTAAAAATCTTACAATTTCCAGAGCACAGATCACTCACAACAGAACATTCCCCTGCAGACTTGTCCCAGCCAAGACCCTTCCAAACTGAAAGCTTCTTACTGGTCTGAAAGCTTGTAAACTACACTCTATTTTAAGCAGTTTTAGCACTGCAGCTGCAGCACAGCACTTCAYTCGAATGCAACCCCAAACCTGGAGCATACCCTCGTTTCTGCTTGATTGAAGACATCGCTGTCAGCCACGCAGGCAATCAGAGAGCTGAAACTGTAGTTGAAGTTCCTAAAATGCATGCTGCGCTTCTCTACAGCAACACTGGCACTCCGGCCAAACTCAGTTAGTTTTAAGGAAGCCGCCGGTGCCGCAGACGAGSTTTATAAAGGAAGCAAGCCCAGCCTCTCGGGGCTAGGGAGGAGGAAGGAAAAAAAAAAAAAGGAGGGGGGAAAAAGGAGAAGAAAAAAACCAGTCTCAGAGCATCCAGTGTGTGCGAGGGGCTGGCTGGACACGCTCGGAGGCAGGAACGCGGCGGGCTCCGGCTGGCACGGGCTGACGTCAGCAYGTTAGTCAGCTTCCCTATGCTAATTGCCGCGCTGCGGAGGATGGAAAAAGCAGCTGAGGGCCGCTCGGCAGCTGCTTTATCGAGCCCGCGCGCAGCATAGTTTCCACTGGTAGTAATTCCATTCAGCGCGCAGACAACACGCTCTTCACTGCAATGGCACAGCCCATCTTAAGATGGAAAATGTTACTTGCCACAGGACCAAAGTCTCCGGTAATACGCTGCAATTAGCCAGGAGGAAAATCTCAAGGCTTTGGAAYGGAAACCAAATCCCTCCCGTCAACAGCTCTCGTTAGCTTTTTGGAAAATTACAAGAGCACTGGAGTTCTAGAGATTAGGAGGAATTGATTTTGGAAAAAAAAAAAACCCAACAAAAAAACCCCTTTTCCTTTGCAGGGAGGATTCGTTTCCAATTTGTTTTCTTCAGTCTGCCTTTACGGGCTGCTTCCTGCTCTCACGTTTTCCGAAGCTCGGCCTGAGCCCCCCTGCTCTGGGGGCAGGGGGAGCTTCGGCAGCAACCTGCTGGCAGGGGCTTAGGGGACAAGCTGGATTCCTGCAGTGAGGAGGGATAAAAATCCATGATTTGACTTCTTTGGATTTATGAGTTTGTATCAGGGTTTCAGAAGATTTCCCCTAAAACAGCACAGGATACAGGTTTTATTTTCTGTTTAAAAGATACATTACCAGTTTGAGGTTATTTGTTAATCTTATGTTGAAGCTTTTACAAGCTGTTTGAAACTGTCCTACGCAGTTTAAAATCCAAATGTGCAACAAAGCCAAAACTGTGCATGCATTTTAGGACATTTTACTATAAAATAGGGCTGCAACATCACAGAATCACTGACTTTTATGAACTAAGGTTTGTAATTTTGGACTGTTTGCAAGTATTTCATAAACATATAACTAAGTATAACTAGTCACATGAACAATCTCCTTGATTTCCATGGGCTCTACTTACTCACTTTTCGTTGAAGATGTTTCCTGTGCCACAGGCACAAAATTACTATTTACTAGCCAAATCCTCAATTAATGCAAAGTTACCCTAGTGGGAAAAACCACTCCGGCCTACTTCCTKGCATCTTTCAGGCAACCTTGAAAAATAAATTCATCTCAGGAAGACAGAAACACCTTGGAAGGATGTTAACAGCTGATGCAGATGCCGTCAGGGAGACTATAGCCAGACTCTAAAACAACGTGACAGAACGCAGGTCTCTGATACTCCTGGAGCGAGCGCCWGCAGGACAGGGCAGGAAGAGCAGGCAGAAAGAGGAGTCCCTTTTCCCTGCTCAGTGCACATGAGCAAAACGGTGCCTTTCCTGCCAGTCAGTGCTTGACGATTTGGACGAGGCACACGTGGAGCGGGAGCAGCTCCGAATCGCCCAGCTGCCTCCCTGCAGCCAGGACAGAGACACTTGAGCCCTGCATCCAGGAAGAACCATCACACTAAGCAGTAAAGCGCCTGAGCTGCCCTGGAAAGTCATGTGGAGCATGTCTTGAATCCTGTACCTGCCCGGCAATTAACTTGTCAGGTGTCTTTAAAACTTGGCGAGTGGCAGCACCCAGTGTGACTCTGGAGAACAGTGGTCAAGATGCTCATCTGGAAAACATGGCCGTGAATCACTTGCACGTAAGTGGAAACTGAAAAGAGGTTTTCTACCTCCCAGGTGAACGCTATCGCTCCTGATAAGAAAGTAAATGTCCTTCCTTTGCCTGCTACTGAGTCAGAGTCACCTGGCATATGCTGAGGCTCCCCAGGTGACTGGGTCTCTAGAGGTGACAGGGGAAAAGAACATTTCATTCGTTGGGTGTCACAGGGCCTACATGCAGCAGCCTTTGAGCTGGTCAGAGTGAGACCTCGGGCAACCTACCTGGAGACCTTTATATAGCTGAGCTTGTCAGAGCTTCCTGGCAACGCAGGGATTACAGAGATCTTCAATATTCCAAATTTGGATTTCGGAGCTTGAAACAGAATGAGCAGACTCTAGGTACTAACATCTCTTTGTAACTCTACAACTTCTTCAGATCCAAATCCCATTAAGTGCAAGGCATTAAAAATACTTCTGACTGCTATCCTCTCAGCCATCTATTCCCAAGGCTAAGGGCCAAAGAAAAGGACTTTACATGTGTTACTGCTGCAATCTTTTACATTTAAGATGAGCATTTAAGTACACGTGAATTTAAGATTCTAACTTGCTGTATAAGCTGTAAACCATTTGTGAAGTCTGTCTCACATCCACATTTAATCGTTAAAATCRAATAAAATGACCCTCTCTCCCCCTCCTCCCCACCAYAGGCACTGCCACGGCTCCAGTTTCACATATGGAATCCATGCTAATCCATACGGTAGCCCTACACTGAGAACCCCAAATTCTATTTTAGAAGGCCACAGTCAACGTTACAAAACACGTTACAAAAGCCTGACAGTGTCGCAATGTTTTTTTCTGGGGTGTTCACACCAAGGCAYTTATCACCCACATGCTAATGAACCACCTGGAAAGAACTGCAAGACTATCCCAACTCCAGGACCTGTCATTCTGAAACTACCGGAGCCCTGTGCTG